GTGATAAATAATGACTGGTCGCTCATTAGCTCTCACAGGTATTGATATCTTTTTTTTTTCCGCTGACAGTAAAATCGTGTTAGTCGCTGTTCAAGATGAAGCCTCAAAACACATGTCACCAGCGATTGATGCTATCAGGAGATTGGGCGCTACTGATCCTGTACAGCCGGATGAAAGGGGATCTTTTTCTCTCGCTGGATACGCAGGAGTAAACAAACCCCAATGGATTACTCAGAGACGGGCGAACAGAGGACAGGGACCGAGTGAGATTTTTTCGAAAATTTCGTTATCGGCAGGTGCGTTTAGGTGTACGTTTTATCTATTGTCAGTATTAAGTATGAGTCAAGAGATTATAAACTGTTTATAATCTTTTGGAGTGAGTTCATGAGCGCACTAGGTAGGCTTGCCACAATAATCAAGATGATGTTATGCTAACGCTCGAAACGTCAGCTTTAGAAAAACTTGTTACGCTGGCAATCTACATTGATCAACTCAGTTGATAAGAGCCAAACTGTCTTATAACATTCCCCTCCGACGCAGCACCCCAGTTTCTTTTAAAAAATTAACTCCTTCATCAAAGAAACATTGCCAGTTTAAAGGGTGTGTTTAAATGCACGTTTTATCTCCAGATCTTAAGAGTGAGTCCATAAGCGCACCAGTTACGCGGGCTACATACCATCTCATTGATGCCAATGAAACTTCGTAAAGATAAAGTTTCGAGCGCTAGCCCTTTTTTCTGACGAAAGGCTAACGCTCGAAGCGTGAGTATCAAAAACTCTTCGCAGTGGCAAATTCACATTATCAATTCAGTCGATAAAACCAAATGATTTATTTGTATCCCCCACCGACGAAGCACCGCGGTTTCTCTAGAAACTTACTTCTTCATCAATGAATCATTGCCAGTTTAAAGTGACTACTCCAAAACTGCGGTAAATGTATGAAGCCCTTCCTATGACCGTATTTAAGGTAGCTGAAAACAGTTTTACTTCAGACATACTCAGACTTACACTGTAAAGTGCTATCGTTCGTAACTCTGATTGGACGAACGACGTATTTTCACAGTTGTTCGCTTTCCAATATTTAAAAAAATCTCAGTATGTATGAAATAAAACAATGTACCATGGAAAATGTTCGGACGATTCTTACTCAAAAATACGAAGGAGTGAGCGTAGGGAAAGAGCGGGTTTTCTGATGCATCGCAAAGTGTATTTAAAAATCGTTCAAGCACTTTCTCATCGTGTCTGGTGGGGCGATGATCTTGCATGAGCATATGGATTACACAGAATACTTAAAGGCGCAGATATGTCACTACTAGCTAACGTACGAAAGAATGACTGTAAATATATAATTTCCATGTATTTGAATTGCAAATAATTAATAAATAATAATTAATAAATGAAGATGAGAGTGATCTTCGCAGGAATGAACATTACTTAGTGAAATTAACGCTCGAAAGAAATTCAGGTTCGTACGGGAGTTGAACCCACCGGTGCAGAGCCCTACCAACCGAGCTACTACAAAAAACACAGAAGGTGTTTGGTTATCAATTTGCAATGATCATATCCTCCCTAAACCCTATTTAGATAGAGAGTGTTTGGATGAGTGGGTGATAGTTTCTCATGGCGTAACCAGAGGGAACTCGGTCAATCTTCTTGAGAGCTCTTCAAACTTCGAAGGTACTTTCCATCTTGATGAAAGCACGGCCAAAACTCGAGACAACCATTTTGAAAGCGGTAGTTTAATGTTTCATTAGGAGATGTTCTCTCTGCCACGATTCGGTACACGCACACGGACTCTCCATTATCGAGGCATGCACAGTGGCAATGAGAATCTGAAGCACTCTTTCGTAGGTATGCAACATTGCACGAATTTACTAGTAAATTATAGGATGGTTTAAATCACGGGTAACCTAAAACTGCTTTACCAGTGCATCTGTAACCGATTTTAAATTTTTTTTCTGCGGCGAAATAAACACACACGTTTGTTTAATGGTAATTTATCGAGGATCGAAACGCGCCAATCACAGCTGTAGAATACCAGCCAATCACAACGGAACATCCTCCTTTCTAGGAAGACACGAAATCAGTCGACCTTATCGCCTGATGAAGACTAACAGTGTACAGTCAAAACGTCACGATCCTCATCATAAGTGAATATATCGTGAGACAAACGACAGTACATTATTGTTGTCGTACTTTATCACGATGAATAATCACAACCTTTTTTACGAAGACTGCAGATATGTTTGCTGAGTTTCTACGTTTTGTGTCGGAATGATGCAGCGTGGTTTCTGTCTCTTGTCTTGAAGACATTTTCTGTAAGTCCGATGCACGTTTCAGTAGTGCTGTTGTCCTTACGTGTTACGGTGGCATGGCAGATAACTGAAGATTGGAGGCAGTTCCGATGAGTGGGCTTGGGTCCTTTTGTCGGCAGTTGCAAGTATTGTTGTCTTTTGTGTTGGTGTTACCCGTGGTGTCATCGATTTGTTCGGTTAAATTTAAAATGCACTTGTTGAAAGAAAGAAAAAAAAAACAAGAAATAAGAAAAATCAGAGGAACTAAAACAGCTTAGGTTGCGATATATCGACGTTTTAAATGCGAGTACAGCCGTCATTTTATTGAAATCCTGGACAATTTTTTTATTTCCAAGTAAAACCGTTTTCTCCATTAAATTCTCGGCTTTTAATTCATAAATAATTTGCTTAACTAGAGTACAGATTAAGTAAAGACTGGTAGTTTCGAAAGAAACTGTTAGGGGCTGCGTCGGTGGGAGTAACGAAATAATTTGGATATATCAACAAAGTAGAAATGGTAAATTGGCCACTGAAACGATTACAAAAGCTGATGTTTCGAGCGTTAGCCCTTCGTCGGAACGAATAGAGGAATAGTGGGTTGTGTGTGCTTTTAAAGGCAGAAAATGGAACTACGTGATTGGTGGGAACAAGGCAACGGGAAAAAACAAAAATAAATTAGTGGAATGAAAAGCGTTCGTTGATCCCTGTGGGATTTAGACTGTCGGTTTGAAAGATGAGCTTTTGTTCAAGATTTTTTACGGCTTTCCGTGCCACCTAAGTGTAAGGAAAGACCGCAGATTGCCATATGTTGCTTAGAATAATTAGGTAAATACAGATGAAGTATTTTATGGAGTTGAGCGAGCCTTAATTATTTAAGTTCCATTGTGATTGAGGAAAAGCAAAGGAACTGAAGGAAGACTATGCACACTGAGACTTAAATTGGACTGTAATTGGATTAGCTCTGGGAGAAACAGAAAGATTCCTAAGGCCGGCATTTACGAAAATTTGCAATGAAAATGAAACATATGTTCCTACAGCAAAGTTTGACACAGCTAGGAAATGAGAAAATTAGCTAAGTTATGAATACTACGAGGGACAATAATAGCGCTGTCTGAATAGAAGGATAATATCTAATCATAACAGATACTGAGTAGCAGCCAGCATAATGCGAAAGTTAACACGGTGGCAGTGACATCTTTAGAACGTTGCACTCTCTTTTTGCGCGTAGTTTTCTTGTTTTGACTCAAGATTCGCCTGGAATCTTCTCGATTTTACGAAATGGCGAGGTAAAGCATGGCGTTTAGAAGGAGAGGAGTGTACCAGAATCCAACACAGTTTAGTTTTGGAAGGGCGAGTACTCTCCAAATGCGTCACTCCGGTGCAGCTTATATCTAAACCCTTCTGGGCTGGTTTCTGCACAAGTCTAGGGGAAAACAAATCTAAACATGAGACAAGCATGGCGATAATCCAAGTGGCGTAAGGAAAGAACCGGCATAGCTTTGGACTCATTGTTTGAGAAAGAAAGCGAAGATCTACAGCTCTATTAAAACCAGGCTTTAAAGACACTACAGCGAGATGTCTACAAAGAAAGGACTCAACTTACACAGCACTCGTCCAAGAGGACCGCTGATCAGCCGAGAGCTACTCTACATCTCTGCTAGCTGCCCGAGAAACAGGAAAATCCGATAAAACTGATCGGACATGGCCATGTTTACAATGAACATGTTGATTCGCTTTTTCAGAGTTTTTGTCTTGTAGACAACTATTCCAAAATATCAAACAATAGATAAATGTTTTGGCAATTCTTTCATCTTTCGGATTGACTGTGCAGCTCAAATTGAGCTGTGTTCCATTGTTCGCCGCAGTTACGTTGGCCGCCATTCTTGGAACTGAGAGATCTGTTTCTGTTTTAGCCAGCAATTCTCTTACTCTGAAATCTACCTTATCTTTAAATCGATGAAAAAAAGTATACACATTTGCTAAAAAATTGTTTATTCCAGCATCTCAATAACTTTTCATTTTGTTCTTAGCAATCCTTTTGGGTTGAGTGAAATGGTCTCATACTCTTCTTGGTTTTGCCTGTGAGACCTGACTAAATGCTTCGTGACAAAAATTCTATTGAGTTTTGAACTGCTGCTTTTCCATTAGATGGAAGTAGAACATTTACTTAATTTTTATACATTTTGGAAATGCAAGGGAATTCCTATTTCCATTCCCTTTTCCTTTCCTTTGAAACGATAGAACAACAGGGAAGTTTTTTTTTCCCTTCGGTGCTTAGCCATAAACAGTTTGGTACAGCTTTTACCTTGTTCTAAAATGAAACCATAACTATTCCCTAAAGTAAAATCGAGAACTAAATCGTTAATAACAACATTAACACGCCAGCTGTTGTCCTTAATAACCCCGGCATCACAACGGCTTAGCTTTTGAGTGAATTGGTACCATTTCTAATGACTTGTTGCTATATATTTAAATTTCCTTCATTATTCCTTCTATGATAGGCTTATCTAAGATTTAGTTCTCCATTCGCATGCAGCATGATCCCAAGCCATTTTGAAATAACTGCGGTTTATGTGAGAAAAAAAAAAACATGTGACCATCAAGTATTAGAAAGTTTTAGGTGGGACTGAGCGGCTATTTGTCTAAACGGCAATATGCTTTAGAAGTTGATTTCGATCATTCTAAAATGGCTTTTTACTTAATTGCTTTTGTGCATTGGTGTCTATCATAAGCCTTTTTCTTATAACGAATGTAAACTAATTGACTTTGACCAAAGTTCGAACAAATTGCACCATCAGTTCTTTGTGATTGCTGCGGCTATAAGAACAATTCGTGGTCAGTTTTTCATTAAACCCTTGCACTTAAAATAATATTTCAAAAGAGATTTAGTCATACTTCGTCATGAAAAAACTCACAAGACTTTTTTTAATTACTATGCGAATATACAGCTAACCTAACACTCTCGAAAAGGAATTTTCTATGATATTCCAGAATTTTTTTGAA